ATATTCTCCCGTTTTTTTTTTGTTTTTTTTTCGCATCAAAAGACAAGAGCGATGGGGTTCCCAATCACAAGCACCAACAGTGGCGTTGCAGTCTTATAATGAATGGCTTGGAGTGGCCAAACAAACGAGGTATGTTTCCAACTAAGGTGAGAGTCAACGGGCAGGGCAAATACTCCCAAAATTTTCGTGTCATCAAATCAAGCAAAATGTTATTTCCGTCAAAACAACTTGTGTATGTATTCCTGAAACACACATGAACGGATGGGATGGTGCAGCTGGCTTCCATGAAAGCGCATGTCAAAGCTTTGGCTTTGCCCGCTACTCAATTCTTTGGAAAAAAACACCAAAAGGCTTCTAGCCTTTTTTTTTTGATGTTTTTACTGCCTTTAATTTACTGCTGCATTAGCAACATGTCCACAAAGCTCGTAGATCACTATTGCGTCGCCACGACCGTGGTTTTGTGCGCGGAGGTTATGGCAAATTGTATCCATTTTCAATCCGCGGGCAGTGGCTGTGCACAGGCCTTCAAAACGAAGTCGTTTTATGTTTTCTATGATCACATATGCCACGGTCTTGTCAACAGTTTCCGGAGAGCAGCATTGCTTCAACTGGTTGAGCGTTGGACAGGCACACTTTCGGAGTACTGTCAGTGTCGTCGCCATACATGATTGTGTCAAGAACGACCGTGGTTTCGTCCACAGCGGCTGTAGCAACAACCACATGCACTGTGAAAGAGAACACGTGCGCTGGTCGCACGAATGCTTCTGAAGCTTCGAGCACGCTGCTCTCGATTGGCCTTTGTTTGCTGGTTTTGGTACTAAAAGTTCATACCACATGCCGGGATTTGGAAAAGTGTTCAGAAGATTCAAATTATGGCCCAATAAACACAGTGAAATTTGGCTGGGGAATTTAATGAATTCGTGGCGGCCGCAGTTTCGCATCACTGAGACTACTGTATGTTTAGATGAACGCCTCCCAAATTCGTTTTACAAAATGCGGTGGGGTCGCAAAAAGCCTGCAGTGGACTGACCAGCATTTTTGTCAATGCGGCCAGATCACAGATGAACACTTACTTCCAAAAGATTTTCATGACAACCGTACAAACGGAAGAACCAATTGAACTCCGGGAGTCCTCCGGACAATCCGAGAGACTTGGCTGGTATGTGGTAGATATGTGTGGTTTAATGTCCCAGAACCACCATATGATTATGAGAGACGCCGTAGTGGAGGGATCCGGAAATTTCGACCACCTGGGTTTCTTTAACGTGCACCCAAATCTGAGCACACGGGCCTACAGCATTTTCGCCTCCATCGAAAATGCAGCCGCTGCCGCCAAAATTCGATACCGCGACCTACGGGTCAGCAGCCGAGTATCTTAGCCCCTACAGGTTCTCCCACTCACTTAAATCCAAGTGCCCGCTTAGATAATCCACATGGCATTGAAATAATCTGAATGCCAACCTATTTAATCCATGTGCCAAACATTTAATCGAAGCGCCAACTTGGTTAGGCTTCGTGCCAGTGAGTTTAATCCAAGTGCGACCATGTTTAATCCGATTGCCAACGACTTTAATTCAGGTGCCACCAGCCTGTTTAATCCATGCACTAGGAACACATGGCTTCCCAATTGATACCATCTAAATGTTGGAATAATGTAAACATGCAGCGACAGAAAGAACTTTTCTCTCTCGCCTATAGACGAGAGCACGGCTATCTCGCACCCAGGCACCTTCGGCGATATACACTCGCTCCCAGAGACGCCATAATTTGTTTTCAACTGACAAGGCGTGCCTCGCTAGCATGGCAAACAGTGCCTCTGGGACATTAAAATGTAAAAAAAGCGCCTGTTCACGCTGTGCCAAGTGATAAGAAGTCTTCTGGGTACCACTGTGCCATCTTCGGATGCAAAAACAATCAGCGCAAAAGTAAGATATTACTCAGCGCTGTCTGTGACAATCCCAACACGGTGCGGAAATTGTGCTGATGCGATGTTTCCCCGATTGCACAGATTTCCATCCACAACAAAAACCGCCGAGCTCCGCCGCCAGTGGACATAATCGCAATCGGCAGGAAAAACTACGGGTTCAGAAAAGTGTACGAATAAATATAATTATTGCATTTACTCAAGCGCGGCGCAAGCTGTACCTACTTTACAGCAGCGATTTTCGTGCAGTAGGCCTGTATATAATGCGGCACCAAAGCATTGCCGTAATCTTTCGCCGGCTCCATGCCAGTAATTAGGATTACGACTCATGCGTGGATGCAAGCACCGCACACATATACAATTGTAACTGCGTACTATTGCGATGCAAAGAGACGTGAACGGCATGAAAAGCATAGCTTGCGACTCAGCCGAACTGTGGCATGCCTCGACTCACTAGCCGAATCTGTGCTTTCGGTCGGCATCCCCGTATTTTAACATCTTGTGCTGGTTGGCACTTTCACACTATGTGTGTGTTCGCAGTGCCCAGCATGAGTGGCAAATGACAAACACGTGCAGTGGATGAGCACAAGTTTGAGCGAAATTTTAGCGCTACGTTGACGCCGACTTGCAGCACAAATTCTGCCTTGCCACAGTGAAGGCACACCGCAGGGCAACTGAGTCGAAAACAATGCTTTCCGCTGTTCCCGTTTCTTTCAATCTCTATAGTACGTACCTGATGAAGTTGCTTCAGTAGTCGGCAATGCACGTGCTGTATACATTCCGGACTGTCGAGAATGGTTTCCTAGACGTTTCACACGAAATCAGCACAAAATTCCAGGAGAGGAAGAGCGCAAAACATGCTTACAGCCGGACTCTCGTTCAGTTTCGCGTTTGATTTGCGGAGCGTCTGCTCGCGTGGCAGTGCCTGGTGTTGCTTCGCCGTGCTTGCAAAAGACGGCGCTACATGCTTTTCAATATGGCAGCACGCTCTGAGCTCGCTGTGTTCTGGTGTATACATGCTAGCACTTATGAAATGAGGTGCAGTGATATTTCCCCCCAAACGTTTTCATGTCTTAGCTTCACATAACAAAAAAACCGTGCATATTAATGGCATTTACGGGTACTAAATGTATTTGCTCATGGAGTCCACATTAGTCCATGCTTCATTGCTACTGCATTATTCGGGTAATCACCTACATCATCGCATATGCAGAGACTCATTTCGTCTGCTCAGCAGACGAAATTTGGCTGCTTATTCGCTGAGGTGTTTGCAGTCGTTTGCTCCGCCCTGTGAGAATGATGGTGACAGACACATGGTATTAATCTGTTCTTGAAATCAGAAATACCAATTTAAAAAACTGAACTTGCATTTACTTGGGTTCATGGAAATTAAGTTTTTATAAAAGCATCAAAAGAGATACTCCTGTTTTCATGTAACAGTGAAGCTAGTGTTGCTGAAGCGTGTTTGCTTAAAACATGCGTGTTTCATTGGATACACATAATTTTCTTTGAATAAAAAGATAACAGCTAATATGTATGTAAAATATGACTTGCGTTGTCCACATCAGGATCACGAGTTCACATTTTATGTGCACTGCAGGACGATAACCACTTCGAATTATCTCTAATTCGCTCTGCCCTGTGAGGGCCTCCTAATTTCTTTAGCATGCAAGTACCTGCTTTTGACCCACCGCTGCCCACGGCCAGGTTTTCCATATCTTGGTATGCATTACGACACTCCGATAGCCATAGTCTGTCCTTCGTGTTACATGACCTGTCCCGGTCACGAAATACTACACAAATTCAATTATGAGCTTTAGTGACAAACACAAAATATTCATTAACATGTTCCTGCTTTTTCTTTCGTTGCCATTAAAATGACTCCCCCCGAGCCGAGCAGTCATCTACAAACTTGTACATAGCAAAGTACAAACAGGGCTCAAGCAAACAACTGCAGTAATTTTTTTTTTCACAAATACTAGCAACGAATTGAAATAATGATTTGCTCTACTTTACAACTATTATCTTATATATTGTAGGAACTCCATTTCAATTGTACTGCTGTTTTTACACCCGTAATCTGCTTTTTCTGCATGGATTAAACTGACACCTGAATTAAAGCCATTCGCAATTGGATTAAACATGATGGCACTTGGATTAAAATAACTGCACGCAGCCTAATTGAGTTGGTGACTGGATTAAATATGTTGGCACTTGGATTCGATGTTTGGAACATAGATTAAATAGCTTGGCCCTCAGATTACTTCACTGGCATGCGGATTATTTAGGGTGGCACTTGGATTAAAGTGAGCAGGAAAACCTGTAGACCACCGCGGCGGGGCAGCATACTTTTCACCATGACATCACTATGCGTGGGTGAGAATTGCGTCGCAACATGGGTGGGAAAAAAAAGTGGCAGACACTTTTCGAATTTTGGGAATAAAAGTTCCTTTGTTATTTTAGCTCAGGTCAGCTATGTTTTTTCGATTTCACTACAATGAAATTATCACTTCAACGAAATTTTCCCCGAGCCCCGACAGTTTCGTTATAGCAGGGTTCGACTGTATAAAGTGCCATAGCAATAGACTATGGTCAAATAGGTACAGCGGTAATGGGCACACACTCAATTGAACTAGTAGTACCGACCAGAGTGTATTTTAAGGTCTTACATTCTTGCATGACAAAACAGAATGCAGATTCAATGACAACCCCCAGGCACTACAGAACCACATGTTATGGTACACTATACTATTTCGAATATTTTGAAAATGATCCTATAAACGTTCAGGTTAATTATATAGCTGCCACTTTCCACTGAAGCTGTCTTAACAAGAGCATCTGGCTGTCACACTCGGTGTTCTGTTGTAGAGCACACAAATTCTGAGGCAATTTGGTGGTTTTAGTGCAATGACAAGCAAACATAGCCCCCTTAGCATAGTTTGAACGGCATAACATCTCTATGACCCCAGAATAAAAAAGCTGAATTATACTAGGAAGAGCCATTCAGCAAGCAATAACAGTCAACTCCAACCATACACATGGAAAATTACAAAGCATATGGAGCTGGAAAACTTACCAGGAATCATTTTCAATGCGGTGTTAACAGCAGACCAGTCCTTTTGTGGGGTAAACTTGCAGTCCAGGATGAAGTTTCCGTTGTCAGTTACAACTGGTCCCTTTGAAAGGTAAATGAAAAAAATTACCACAGGAACCATCTCCGTATGTTTGTCACAGTCAATGCATAAAGCATTTTAAGCACATTACAGATACAGATGATGATAATGATGAGTACAAATAAAACAGCACAAAAAAAATAGTCATTGACGAAGTGCTCCTCCAGGTGCAACTCAACAATATTCAAATGAAACTCAAGGACACTTCTCCAGCATTAAGAAAATGCTGACCAAACATTGCAACACACTGGCTTGCACACGACATCCTAAACCAAGTTCTGTTGCACCTGACGAGGCATGCACCTGTGGCATAGTAGTTAGCGAAGAGGTTCTCAAACTCATTTTCACGGAACCTAAAGGCTCTGCAAGCAATCCAAATAGATAAGACTGTTACAACTTCTTGCTTTAGAAAAGAAAACATGCACTGCATTCTGAATTTCACGATGCCATCTCATACTGCATCTGCACATCATGATTCTGTGAGCAGCAAGAGATCATACATCAGTGAAGTTGGGACTCCCATCACAATAATGTGCACATTGAAGCTATGGGGACCCACAGCAAAGGCACAACCTGTGTGCTTTTGATTCATGTTCCGAAGAGCAGTGTATAACATGTACATGGAAATCAAGAATTCTATAAGCTTAGAGCCACTAGTCTGCCTCGTATAACATACTTTTGTTGCAAAGGAGGACAATATTAGGCGTTTAAGTGACACTTCGTAAAGGACTTCTGGGGTGCATTCATGTCTTATATGTGCCTCATAGCACATCAGCACGTGCATGGTGTAGTTTTTGTATACAGTAGACTCGGTAAACGAAAATCCCTTCAACAGAATTGCTGCTTCAGTGGAACAGCCTGGTTCCAAGTACGACTGGTTTCATACTTGGATTTCACACTTCTGAGACAACAGAAACTTTGTTAAACGGAACAAGTTTGCCTTGTGGCTTCCGGCTCATTTTCCAAGAGCCTAGAGAACACAGTTTAGTTTCCATACAAACATCATGCTTTTTCTAACTTACCTATGACAGTAGAAATATTTATTTTTAACTTCAGTATAATGAAGCATGTCTATACATGATTTCGATAAAATGATGTAATGTTGCTGCAAATAGGACGACCGAGGCACTTTCTGTTGGTGCCAGTGACTGTATGGTCGAGTTACACACAGGTTTGGCAAAGGCGTTTTCAAAGTATTGTGCAGCACAAAAGAAAGCTGTAGCCAAAAAGCAGAGCAGTAACCTTTCTGGCACTGGCTGGCTGTGGGTCGACAGCGTGCAACATAATCCTTGCCTTTGGAACCTGGCAAGGCCATTCTGGTACATCGTATTACACAGTGTACATAGCATTAATTAGAACTTAGACCGGAGAGCTATGGAAATCACAGGGAATGCTATTTTTTAGATCCGTAGTAATCATGACATAAATGTGAAGAAAGTAAAGTGGACAAAAAGATAACTTGCCACTGGGAGGGACCAAATTTGTGACCTTTGGATATTGTGCGATGCTCTACCAACTGAGCTACAGCGAGGCTATCCACCCGTCAACTTTACGAGGCATACATGTGCATAAGTACATTCAAACCTGGTAGTGATAGCATCACTAGTAGCCATGGCGGCGAGTGTGGAAAACTTTTTCTGCCCGCTGGCATCATGACGCACGTGATCTTTTTAGGATCTGGCAGCTGACCAATAATTCCTGAAGGCATCGAGTCTGCCAGAATGAGACCCTCGCTATAAATGAACTTTAAGAGTTAGCTTTCTTTGCTGAACACAACAGTAATTATAACAGACAAGAAAGCCAAGCAAAGTATAGGGCATGTTATATGTAGCAATTATAATTGATTTGATTGATGTGTGGTGCTTAACGTCCCAAAACCACCATATGATTAAGGGAGACGCCGTAGTGGAGGGCTCTGGAAATTGCGACCACCTGGGGTTCTTTGCCGTGCACCCAAATCTGAGCACACGAGCTTATAGCATTTTCGCCTCCATCGAAAACGCAGTCGCCGCAGCCGGGCTAGTAATTATGATGTAAATGTGAAAAAAAGTGAAGTAAAGTCTGCACAACATACTTTTATTCTCTGCCGTGCATGCCTTGCATCAGTGTTCACTTTGACGTATTTGCAATTGCTGTTTGGCAAGTGACAAGGATGAATATCTGGATCGGTAGTAGCGTTAATGCAACAATCCCTAACTTATATTTTGAGCAATCTCCATTGGCGAGATAAGGGCCATTGTTGCTTGTTATAGGATGTTGCTGAGCTTGAGCTCAGTCATCCTGAAGTCCAATGAAGCTATTTTGGATTCACTGAAGAAAAGGATGCATTTTGAAAGAGAGCAATGGGAACCCACAAATTTTTTTTTATCAACAACTGCACTGATGTAACAAGTTTTAACTAGCCAACCAAGTTCAGGTATTGTTATGCCCCCATCGAAAACGCAGTCGCCGCAGCCGGGCTAGTAATTATGATGTAAATGTGAAAAAAAGTGAAATAAGGTCTGCACAACATACTTTTATTCTCTGCCGTGCATGCCTTGCATCAGTGTTCACTTTGACGTATTTGCAATTGCTGTTTGGCAAGTGACAAGGATGAATATCTGGATCGGTAGTAGCGTTAATGCAACAATCCCTAACTTATATTTTGAGCAATCTCCATTGGCGAGATAAGGGCCATTGTTGCTTGTTATAGGATGTTGCCGAGCTTGAGCTCAGTCATCCTGAAGTCCAATGAAGCTATTTTGGATTCACTGAAGAAAAGGATGCATTTTGAAAGAGAGCAATGGGAACCCACAAATTTTTTTTATCAACAACTGCACTAATGTAACAAGTTTTAACTAGCCAACCAAGTTCAGGTATTGTTATGGATCCAGCCGAAATTAATTAGCTAAAGCAAGGCATCGACTGAAATTTGCAATACCACACTGGCCCTTGCGCAATTCTTTGGACAATGCGCACACAATGTTGCAGAATAAAAAGCACAGCCACCAATAATAAAGCCTATCAATAACTCAGATTTTTACCTTGCTTTCATGCAATCTTAAACTGGCAAGATTTTGTTTCGGTGGTGTATGCTAGGTTTTGATGTACTGCATTCAGCAAGCCAAAGCAAAAAGAATTTATTTTTCATGCAAGTGTTCAGCAATCAGTTCAGCGAACATGGCATCTGGTGCCGTACCATTTCAGGCAACGCTCAAAGCTACGATGGCGAGCCCCAGTGACAACTGCGACGCGACAGCTATGTTTACACCAATAATCACAGTTTTGGACCTGCTTTCTGCATGTCGCATGGCTTCTGCAGAGAGTACTGAGTGCAGAATCATACCATAAATGTGGTCACTAGTTCCCTGGTTCAAGAAAATTGAGTTTTTATGCTACTAAAGCTATTTCTTTTACTGCCTTATTCAGAATTTTTTTTGCAATCTCTTGATATAAAATAAAAACGTCGATGGCTATACCGTACATGAAAGGTTAAATATCAATATAATGAAGCTTTAACATGTTTACGTAAAATAGCCATTCAACCAAGTTCATAATATCATACATGCTGGTTCACTACCACACTACATTGGTTTTGCAATCCAAACACATGAGTGCAGGGGTCTTGTGAATTAGCACATGTTCCTCATCAAGAGTGATGAGGCCTTTGAGATTAACCCTTTAATTGTCAAAGACGTACAAGTACATAATCTGCCAACAGCCACAAGACATCTCAAGATGTAAATGTACATCATTGCCTTTATCGAAAAAGGTGCACGTTTTAAACATAATTTCACTTGCTTAGCATATGCTGCCACACATTGACAATATGTGCAATTTTTCTCTTGCGCCAATGTCTCCTAAATAAGGGACTGCTAGTTTCCGTTTCATCCTTCAACTGGTTCACTCTTGCTGCGCCCGCCTGCTTGTTACGCTTTCAAAAGTGACAAAGGTCTTTAATCTTTCAAAAGGCGACAAATTTGTTACTCTCTCGTTTATTGCTCCTCGGTACCAGTTATGCCCATTTCTGTGCAGGCGCTGATTGACAAAAACAGTTCCACTGCTGTTGCATTTCCCGTTTCAAGGATTAAAAAAAACCGCTTCCATCTCGTGTGCGATAAGACGAATTATCATTATAGGTTCTGAACTTGTTTTTGCTTTCTGGACATGCTCATAATTACATAGTTTTCATCAGAGCGCTCACCCTCGCAAGAGTTGCAATATGGTTTTATTGGCGATTCATTAGGAAATATTCGATGCAGCACAAATCGACATATGGACACGAGAAGGCACACATGGACACCACACAGAACTACTAGCAGCAACCCACACAGCATTATTAGCAACATGACATCACTAGTAGTGCTGTGTGGTGTCAATATGTGCCTTTCTACGTGCGTGTGTCGGTTTGTACTACACCAAATATTTTCAAATGAATAGGCCTAGAAGTTTGCTTGTGCTATGGAAGTGCGTGCCGGTTTCTCTGCCGCAAGTGTGTAAAGCAGCAATTCCTCCAAATCACAGCTCAAATGCCAATCAAAATCTGATTCAGTGAATGTCAGCCAGTTATACGAGGAGTTACTTGTGAGTTAATACTTGCATGTTGACAATTCAGCGAAATCTCAAAGGCGTGCGCAGCAAGGCGATGCTGACCGGATCAAAAGTGGCGCCACTTCATGAAATTTATTTTCTACATTTGTGAACTGCCAAGATGTATATTTCAAAGCACAGTTTTTTACCAATTGTATAAGTGTTTTTTTTACAATTCGTCTTGCTGTTAGTATACGTGAATAAACCATGTGAATGTAACAACGTAAAGAACCTTTCTGTCACTTTGTGGTCACTCTAAAAAAATTGCGGCAACTTTTTTCTATAATTAATTCACCTAAAGATTATCACTCGGCAATAAAAAAATACACCCCAGTGGGTCACATTTAGCTAAAAAAGCCGACTTGATTTGCACTGTTCGTACATGGTCGTGCTGCACAGCAGATAGTGGCAAAAACACTGCAAGGAGGATCAGC